TATGCCTTTTTGGTTTTTCTTAGCTGTTTTTGTCACTGTACTTAACTGCAAACTGCTAAAATAATAGGCAGCTGTTTGCAAATCATTACTTTAAAAGTAATTCTGTATGTTACATCAGGAATCTAGATATTCAGCACTTCTTCTAAGCATCACAATTGCTGTTTAAGATTATCTTGAGTTAAATTTTGTCACCTTTAAATATACAGCATTTTAGATCTGCTTTTAAACACCTAAATAAAAGAGGCCCGATTTGCAAAAACACATCTCCCAGTTTGTGGAAGGTTTCCTGACTCATGGGACCCTTTTTTAGGAGCTCACATCCCAGTACAAGTACCCAAAGCGCAGCATTTCTGACCAACTCCTAATGTTGAACAGCTGTTGAGCGAACACACGCCACACTATGATCTCATCACCCATTGCAGGATAAACAGAATGAGGCTGGGTTGGCAACAGCTCCACTGTGGTTTTGCCCACAGCCTTCCACAAAACAACACATTATTTCAGTTTTGCTATGCAAAAGCAGACTGGCAAGAGGAGCTGAGTGTTTTGTTTCTGTCCCACCCCTTGCTCCAGAGGACTTCAAGAGGCTTCTTCTGTTCCTACGGTGTGGCTCACACCAACGGGAACTGCTGACCACACCTGGCAATATGTGTACGAGCAGCTTAAGTAATGAACCTTGGCCAGAGGCAGGGGCAGGGGAGCACAGGCAGAGCTCAGCATAGTAATACAGAGTCAAAGGCCATTCTGGTGTAGTGAGCTGGGGATGTGAACGCTGTGGCTGACAAGAAGACATGCGCAAATGAGAATCTTTAATGAATTTAAAATGCGGTCTGGATTTTGAGGTGAGATGTATTCTGCCCTCCAGGTAGAGGTCACTCACAGAGCAAAGGAAAACTGCTACAAATGGCACCATTGTTCATATTAGCAGCTCCCATGCAGAAGAATCCTCTACTAGGAATTATTTATGAAGACTTCCATCCTTATCCTAAGAGTAGACTTTTGCTTCCAGCAGTTTGTTCTTGATTGTTTTGCTGCTTTCTTCCACAGGTATTCTCAAACCCAACAAATGTTTCAAAGTTTGGAAGTGCAGACTTCCAGCAGCAGCTCTCCGATCGTACTGATGGGACAAGCAGTGTTAAACCAAGGGTTTGCCTCCACGCCTCCTTCCCAGCCATCCTCTCTGCCACCTATGCAACTCCAGCACCAACAGCATCAGCAACAACGCTACCTGCAGGTACAGTAGGACAAAGAGGACAACATATAAAATGCATGCGCAGAGTAATAAAGCTGCAAGGTTTCAGCAGCAGCCCTGGTCATGGCAGAAATGGCCATGATACTGAAATGTGCAAGACACTGATATGGTGCTGTGCACCCTTCCAGTATAGCAAGGGAGCAGTGAGAGCAGTCAGAATATTTAAAAGGAAATTACTAATTCTGTATGTTGGAGACATAATCAGATTATCCTGGATATATTTAAAGTGTATTTCTAGATGGAGAAAATTGCTGCCTTAGGATTTATTTTGTACTCTTTATTCGGTAGAAAATTTGCTTAGTTTACAAGTCAAAAGATGATTTTTAATTACCAGCATCGACATAAAATGAGATCTGGATCAGATATGTGGATCCCTTCAGTAAATTAACATATTTTCTCAACTCCACAAGGCAATGGAGATAAACTGGAGCACATTGCCTGGAAGAACCAGGTGATTTGAAGATGTAAAAATACTTATTTTTTGACCTAATTCAACACATATTAAAGTAAAGGGGAAGGGGGGAAATTAGGTGTCTCTGTATTAACTCAAAAGTAGCTGAATTGAGTCTATAAAATCTGATCACATATCCACTGGCATCATTGAAAGAGTATCATCAACCTCAAATGATTAAACTCGTTGTTGAAATGAAACCCTTATCATAGCTGAGAATTAATGAAAAAAACTATGACAGATACCATTCCAAATAAAAGCAACTGCAGAATTCACATCAGCTTCACTGCTGCAAAGTCACACCCTCCTGTAAACGTACAAAAAAAGAAAAAGGCTAGAAAGGATAGCATGAGGTACACTGTCATTCCCTGCTTCTTTCCTGCGTTATTTCTATAATCCATGTAATTTCTGACACGCTCACCCACCCTGTTCCTAAACAGGCTTCTGAGGATAACCTGCAAATCCTAGACAGTGCATTCCTGTTAGAAAACCTTTCCCTATGCCTATTTGTGATGTTCTCTGTTGCCATTTCTGTCCCTTCGTTCTGGCATTAGGTACGGTAACCCCATGCCAAACAGCCCCAGAAGTAAAAGCCAGCAAACCAGTAGTGTTTTTAAGCACCCTGTACGTTCAGGATAAAGAGCTTTAATGTGTGAAAGAATCGAACACCACGATGAATTTTATTTTATCTGTAGGTGCAAACACCAAGCTCTTTGCACAATGAGCAACCCGATTCTTTGCTCCTGCCATCTTACTCACCACAGCAAGGAAACATGGGCTATCATCAGACACAGCAGCAGCAACAACAACTAACATCAAGAAGAAGCAATAGCTTATCAGAACCATCAAATTTACCACAGCCACTGCGATAAGAGTCCCACCAGCACACTCAATGCACAATTAGCTTTAACCAATGGGCACACAGGGCAGAGGAGAATGACTTTGTACTTACTGTTTCGGCTTTTGCACAAGCATTTCTTTCAAAGCTCTACGACAGAAGTACGCCACCGAGCGCAGGCTGCCACAGACAGCGCTTTTACGGCCCGCCGGGATCAGTTTGCACCGTGTCGTGAGCACGGGACGTACCGACAGAGCAAAACGAAAAGGAACGCTCTCCTGCGTGGCCTCCGTCGTCAACGGAGGCGTGTCACTCCGAAAACTATCTGGAGATTCCAAAAGACTGTCGACGGACTCGTGAGGTACTTGGCCTTCACTGTTTCAGTTCTTCTTTTGCATATGAAAAGCACTACGTCAAAGGTCTATTGAGGAGAGAACAAGAGATTATTTTTATTATGATTATTGTTATTATTTTGCACAACTGCACAGAGGACAAAACCTAGGCACTTTCTGTAAAGAGAAGTTTGTTTCCTTGTGGCCAAATTAGCACATCCAATGGAGTCATTGGTGAAAATGGTCTACAGCTCATAACCCTTGATTTAGAATCTGAAAAGTATTATGCAGCTCACCCTAACTGTTCTTCGATATGAAAAAAAAAAAAAACACAAACAAAAATAACTCCACAACCCACACTGGACTGTTTTTTATATGAATTGTGGTTGCAGATGAGAACTCAAGTTGTAAGCACAATCGTGCAACTCTCCGATAGTACAACATGGATCCTTCTTCAACCTCAACCCACCCACTGCAAGTCTCTGAGAAATATGCACTGTGTTTTGGCCCACTGACTTGGGATGCTGCAGACTATTACATATCTCTTTCATTATAACATTTAGGATTGAATTTTCCTTTGGGGGGAAAAAAAAAGAAATGCACTTTTCGCTTTTTTTGTATGTTTTCTGTTGATATGTTTCTAAGAAAGATTTTATGTAATTATTAAATGAAAAGTAGTGTATTGTACAGCTGTTGTAATAATGACCTATTTCTATATAAAATAAAATTATATGGAATTATGTGGAAATTATTTTGTATATGAAATATCAACTCATTTCACAAGTATAAAGATTGTGCTTGTGCTTTTTTGTGAGTGGATATTTTGTAATAAACTAATGAATTAGAAATGTTTTTGTGAAGGGAACTACTGTTTCATGACATATGCGACTCAAACTATTATTTTTTTTTCCATTTAATGATGGACAGTTGTCTTTATTTGTAGAATAAAATAAAATAGCCAAAAGGCTTTATTTCAGGACTTGCACACATCTTCCTGTGACTGTTCAAGTATGTCATTCAATTTAGATTTTTAATATTAGCCTTGTGCAATGTTTGGCACCCACTTAGCAAAACCAGCTATTTTCCTATGGCAGCTCCGTCATGGTGCAGACAATGAGAACAATAGCTCAGGAAGTTGTATTAGCTGCTAGCCAAGACAGCTCATTTTAAAGCTCATCTTTAAAGACCTCAGGCAGCTCTGTACTTCCAACCAGTTTTAGATTAGGACAAAACAGATGGTTCCAAGAATGGTTTGACTCAGCTCATGCCAGGGTTTTGACCCATGTCCAGCTTCAGTGTTTTGAGACATCACTGTCCTGAGTTTCTTGATACATCTCTGCTGGAATTGCTTCCGTAGTTTTCACTTCGTCATCCTTGTGCAGACTCTTTTTCACATTAAATTCAAATGGACTACAAGATGGAGCAGCCAAGGTACAGGTCTGATTTCCCTCTGCTGACTCTACTGCAGAAGCAGCAACTTCCAACGCGGAACGAGGTGGATAATCGAGCATAGTAATGTTTCCATCCACCGTGGCAAGATGGAAAGCGGGTGGTCACCCTCAGGGCAGCTCACAGCTGCCTGGGCAAGTGTTCAGCTTCAAGAGAGAGCCCACCATGCTGCCCTTCATGCCCCTCGGTACCAGTTCACCAAGGCCCACATGTTCATCTGGTTTCTGTGCCATAGAGGAACAATGGAGGTAATTGGGCTGGGAGCTGGAAACAGTAAAAGTAAACTTTCCAAGAAATGGTAAAGGTTCGTTTGCCCCGAGTTCTGAAAACTCACTGGCAGAATGATCTTCCTGCTTCCACAGCAAGACCAGCTGGTAGCGCTCATTGGTGCACATGTATTTCAGTCTCTGCAATCCCTTTGTTTTACTTTATTGAAGGGAGAAGAGGGAATCGAGTATCTGGTCTCTAAAAAGCATTTAGAGATCAGATCTGGTCCTTAAGAAAGGGTTTTGACTGCTAACTGTAGGTACCAGTCAGAGTTATCCTGCTCATTTCTTTAAATTCTTGCATTCAGTGAAGCAAGAGTGACCCCACCAGATGAAGATTAAAAAACTAAACCCTAAGATGCTTTCACTTAATGTCTGAAGGAACTTCTCTGTATCCATTAACTACAGACAAACCTAAGGGAAGGCCAGTTGGCTGAGTTAGAGGGTAACTTCATAATTCCACCCATTCCTGTAAGGGCTTATTCTGATAAAGAGGAAGAGAAATCTGTAGGCCAAAAAAGTTCATGCAGGAAAGAGGTAATGAAGGAGTATGAGCACCTCGGAGGAAATACCTGTGGAAGCAGCACCTGAGGGATCTCAGCTGCTATGATGGAGGTCACAGGAGAATTCCTTTAAGAATTTGTCTTCCTCCCACGGATAGTTATAATACACCCAAATCTCTCCCGACTGCCATAGTATGTCTAAATCGGGTTCTGCCTCGAAGCAAATACTGAGCTTTCTAAAGCCAGCACTACTGCACATTGTTAATAGGGAGAAGCTGTAAATAGGGTGGGGTTGCCTTCTAGTAAATTGGTTTATTATATTGTCTGGAAGGATACAGGACACTCGCAAAGAGCAGATTTACATCAGTACTTAAGTTTTTCACGCTGTCTCATTTCTTCCCTGTACACACTGTCTCGTTTGGGATTATTGCACTTGTTCCCTGTCACACACACGGGTGATGCCAGCCCTCCTCACAGCACTGAGCTGTTGTTCTAGCTGATTACAGCCCAGATCCGGCTTGTTCCCACATAATCGCCCAGTTTGGGACACTTTTCTAGGCAGGTGGCCAGAC